CCCGCTGGTATATATATAAGCTCGAAATGACTTTAGATAAAACCGAATTTCAGGTTTTGATTTGCTATTGCTTGAAAGGAGGTCTTTCAGGTAGGGATGCTGCAAGGGTATTCAAGAACTTTCTTGACAACCTAATATTAACTGCTTCTACCGAATAGTCTGTTTCTTTTCCGTTTTAACCAAAAATAAAAGATAAAAACTTTCCAAATGATCAAAAGGAAAATTTTTACTGTATATTAACTGTTATTGCCAAATTGTAAATTGTCTTTTTTTTGCCATTGAACTTAACTTTATACAAGCTGTCCGTATATCAAGTACTAATGACATAAATTATAATAATAGTATTTTGTAAAATTCATAATGCTCATTTAGGGATTTCAAATAAACGCATTAAAACAATTCGGAAACTAACTTCTGTTGTGCCCTAACGCCAGAAGTAGTAGGGGGGGGGTGCACAGCCACGTCACAAACGGTCTGTTACTGCAAAGTTTCTAACCATTCTAATGCTAGTCAAAATTTCGTTGTAATAGTAGCGCATTGTAAATAATTTGCTTGTAATGACGTCATATAATGTGTGCTACTATTAAAAATCTCGCTTAATGCGAGATATAAAGAATAATCGAATTCCATTGTGCAAAATAAATAAAATAAGCCACCGACATTAACATGAATTATGTTTCGTAAATGCTCTTGTTGCTGCATGATAACGCGCACCCTCACAGCGTTCGCAGAGTACAAGATCGCTTATGCATTCTCATAATGTAAGTATTATGTAAATTTCAATTTAATATTATTTTATTTAATAGTATTTCATTTAATATTAGATTTAGTTCTTATTTGTAAATAAAAAGGGAAGTTATGATGGATTTTTTTTTATTACAGTGGATCGAAGGTCAGTTTCTGAACTGTTCTCGCAACCACGAAAAAAAAAATATCGAAACCTGCCGAATCATTAGCGAGGAAGGACTTATTAATAACATCAAAACTTGTTTGATTTCTCAAGGAAATTGAGAAGCGATAGATACTACAAACAGCGTTAAATTTTATTGAGTGATAAAACTGATAATCTTTTTAATCTCTATGCTTTCCTCAATAGTCAGTCATAAGATTTTAATTGAGCTTTTACTTCGCTTGTTCAAATAGATTTATGTTTTTCAAATTGTGTAGATTTTTTTTATTTCGATTTCAGGCACTTTAAAAATATGAATAAAAATATTACGAGTGGTGATTAGGGAACACCCCGCATAAGCTAGAAGTTACTTACTTTGCTTGGAGGTATATTGTTGTGAATGACGATCCGCTCTGCACGTCGAACTTGTTCGTACTCATCTTTAAAATATTTTCTGTGTTTTCCCAAATGAATTCGCCAAAAGTGTGGTCCTCTCATGCTGAAAGAGAAGAAACAAATATTATTATTGTCTTATAAAATTCAACACATAATTTTTTTTCTATGTTGAACTAAGAAATTACGGTGCAACACAAATTTTTTATCTTGTGATGAAAACATTTTAAATCATTCTTGAAAAATTTTCGTTCATTTAAGTTCATTTGAATTCGCCACTCGCTTTATAGATTATGTGTTATGTTTTATTCTGTTTTTTCTTTATATTTTATTTTCTGTTTTTACGTGTTATTTTTACTTATTGTGCTCTATTTTATTTCTTGTAATTTTTTGTAAAATTTTTTGAGTGCTCCTCACTCTATTGTATTGATATATTTTGCTTTGGTTATATTTATACAATATTAGAAAGCACTCTGTTTTGCGGATATAATCGTGTGGGCTGATGAAAAGATTATATATTTTATTTTCCGGACTTTTTAAAAAAATTTTTCTCCTTTTTATCAGATTTTTTTTCTTCCAGTTTTTCGCTATTTTAATTTTTATTATTATTTTTCGATTTTCATTGTTCTGTAATTTTCCTTTGTTTAATCAACATTTGGAACTTAATTTATGAGTTCTATTTACTTGCAGCGTATGCGCAATAATTTTTATTTGCCGATCCAGATAACGAATAACTAGCTACTTTTCTGTTTAGCACATTTTTTAGCTTATTTTTTTCCGCTTGTTTTAAATTATTCAGTTTTACAGAAATGCCTTTTAAAAGCGGAACTCTAAACAAAATAAACACATGGTTTCATATAGCTTAAGGAATACTAATTCACTGATAATTAAGTATTAAGGAGTATAGATAAAAACTATTTTTTCCTCATTAAATAGAGCAGTAGGTTAGCAAACGTAAATCTTCTAAATATTTGAGAAAACAGAATAGCGTGCAGATTATTTGTCTGCCAGATTGTCTATAGTTAATCAAAAAAATTCATTTGTCAAAACTTTAAAATTTCAAAATTTTGAACGATTTTCAGGATTGGGCGTCATAATTCCCCCTGGCATCCACTATCTAAGTTTCAATATGTTAACTGTTCATAAACGGTTTTGGAGCTATAAGAGTTGCATTACTTCTTCATTATTATCTATATCTATTATCTATAAGTGAGAGCTTTCGGATTGATACCGAGCAAAAATCTATGCATGTCTTTTACTACAATAATTTTAAAAACTAAAATTATATTTAAAAATACATTTTGCACATGAGTGTCATTTTACCTCCACACTTCAATGCTTTTGATGTTACTCGAGAATTAAGATGTTATAACACTATCAAACCTCCAAAACCTATTATTTAAATAACCTAACTTTTCCCATTAATGGAAGTCTTTTTTAATGTAGTATTTCCTCGTATTTAATAAATTAAACCTATGATTCTGGTTTTAAAAGAAAGATTGTTTATGCAAGAAGAGAACTTACAATGGTGGATCACTAAAACAATGAGCGGCTGCAAGCACCCACTGGCTATTGATCAGAGTACCACCACAAACGTGACCATTTGGTTCAATTATATCCATCTGCAACTCAGCCATGTAGGGCCAACTTCCAGGCACAGCTTCGCGACCACCGACAATTCTGTCAAAATCTGGAGCGCCTTCTGGTTGTATTTCTGGTTTGCCACATGTTCCGTAAACTATGGGTTCTGTTAACAATAACACAATAAAATGTATACATTAGATTAGCATTCAGTTGGAAGAAAGTTGTGATAAAATGCTTAAGTACTATCAGTTTCCACATGTTCCGCAAACTATTGGTTCTGTTAACAATAATGCTTTAAAATGTATACTTTGTAATAGCATACAGTTGGAAGTGAGTAGAGATTAAATGCTTGAATACCATCCGTTTCTACACGTTCCGTAAACTATTGGTTATGTTAACAGTAACATATTAAAATGTATACTTTGGATTAGCATTCAGTTGGAAGTGAGTTGAGATTAAATGCTTGAATACTATCCATTTCTACACGTTCCGTAAACTATTGGTTCTGTTAACAGTAACACTTAAAATGTATACTTTGGATTAGCATTCAGTAGGAAGAGAGTTGTGATAAAATGCTTAAGTACTATCAGTTTCTACACGTTCCGTAAACTATTGGTTCTGTTAACAGTAACGCATTAAAATGTATACTTTGGATTAGCATTCAGTTGGAAGTGAGTAAAGATTAAATGCTTGAATACTATCCGTTTCTGCACGTTCCGTGAACTATTAGTTCTGTTATCAGTAACACATTAAAATGTATACTTTGGATTAGCATACAGTTGGAAGTGAGTTGAGATTAAATGCTTAAGCAAGATCCGTTCCCACATGTTCTTAACATTCTCTTAACAATAACGCATTAAAATGTATACATTAAATTAGTATGCCGATGTAAGTGAGTTAAGATAAAGGCTCAAATAATATTGCAAAATTGGTAATTGTGTATCATGCACAGATCTTGATTAAGAATTCCAAGGACTGTCAACACAGAAATAAAGGTAAATCCTCTGCATATGTAATTTTAAATCAAATGTACATTTTGTTTTTTTTTCTATACAAAATAGCTTTGAGTAATTTAAAAAATATGGAATTATGATGCATCAAAAGAATACAAGTTTATTCTAAGTTAATTTAAATTATAAATAAGAATAACTTTTATTCTAAGAATAAAATAACTTTTATTTTAAGAACATAAGTTATTTCACTTTGTATTTACTTCACTTTATTAAGTTTATAGTTATTAAATTTATATTTATTGCAAATTTCATAAAAATGAACCAGATGAATTGGGTAGCTCATTATGAACTGGGTAGCTGATGATTCTACATTTTAAAAAAATGCTCTTTCATAGACAGTTAACAGAAAGAAAGGGCAAACGCAGATTGAAATTAATGGAATTGGTGGAAACTGTCTTTCTTGCTATCCGTAAAGGAAACTGCCGCACAGGTGTCAAAAATAGACTGCATTGTAGCAGAATTCAGAAGAAGGCATTGACTCACTTTGGACTGTCTAGCCAAATATGATGATGATTTCTTTCAATTTTTCTTAATTCAGAATTCTAGTTAACAATTAATGAAAAAAAAACTTAATTTGAAAGATTTAAGAAGCCTATATGAGTTTAAAGGTTTTATAGGCATGATCGTCAGTTCTCATGGTTAATTAGATTGATGTATACAGTAAAGTAGAAGATTGCTATGAAACTCAGTTGACAAATGAGCAATGTTACTTGAAATAATACCTGTTACTATAATAATGTTACTTGAAATTAAATTTTTGTATAAGGTATTAGAAGGACTGGAAAAAAAGTGCTTTTAATTAAATTTAAAAAGTTAAATTTTCAACATACTTTTATTTTTAATCAATGATGCCTTGTTATTATCGCGATCAATAACTTTGCGCCATCTAGTGGTCAAACTTTCAATTGATAGAAAATAAATGGATTTTAAGTTAATTATTTGGAGATGGCATTTTGGACAGCATCAAAATTTTCGGTCTTTCAGAAAGTATTGTAACGATAGGGTCTCTGGAAATCTGGTAACGCAATCAGGTGAGTATGGTGGATAAGGAAATACCTCACATCGTATTTTTTTAAATTTAAAAGCTTGTTGTCATGACTTTGAAGTACTCAATGAGATAAATTGTGGCAGACGGAAATCAAAAGTCGCAAAAACAAAATTGATGTCTGGTTCCCCTAAAGTACTTGGAAAATAATTTTTAACTTTAAAAACATAATTATTAGTGAACTCATTTTACTTAAGTTATTTTATTTTATTTTATCTTAAATTATTTTAGTTTACTTAATTAAAAAAAATCCGTAACCAAAACTGAATGAACGAACATAGTTTTTAAGATGCGAATCCATAAATAATAAATTTAAGGAATTATTCTCCAATTTTAGTTTTTTTTCTTTATTTTTTAAAAAAGATTAAATATAAAAAAGTTAGGTAATCTCTTTAACAGTGAATTGTTTTTATTCTGCGTGTTATTGAATGTGTGCATAATAATTGGATTGTCAACCTGTTAGAAATTTGGAAACTAATTTGGTCGCATTTCTTGTAAAAACGTAAAACTGGGTTGTGTTTTCATATGCTATAGCCTAAAGAAATAAGAAAGGAAGAGGAAAAAAGTTGATTAAAACTAATTTTCTTACTGTTACTGTAGTTGTTGTAGTTGTAGTTAATTTACGTCGCACTAGAGCTGCACAATGGGCTATTGGCGACGGTCTGGGAAACATCCCTGAGGATGATCCGAAGACATGCCATCACAATTTTGATCCTCTGCGGAGGGGATGGCACCCCCGCTTCGGTAGCCCGACGACCTGCACGCGAAGTCGAGCACTTTACGGTAGAACAGTTTAACGAGGACCAATACCGCACACCCTCGGTCCCTACGCAGGCTGATCCAAGTGGTCACCCACCCGCACACTGACCGCAGCCAGTGATGCTTGACTTCGGTGATCTGCTGGGAACCGTGTCTTAACGATCAGTCCACCGCGGGACTTCTTACTGTTACATTTTTCTTCATCTGTTCCATCTCCGCAGTTATCCTTGCCGTCGCACAAAGATTTGGAACTCACACAGTTTCTGTTTCTGCATTGTTTCTGTCCCTTTTCGCATATATCTGCAAGGAACAATTCTCTGTTACACAAAGGATTAAAATTATCAGTTTCTAAGTGTAATACATTTATATACTATAACAAAATGTTTGTCTTTTTCTTTTGTAAGAAACGCTAAAAGTGTTCTTTAAATATTCGAAAAATAGTTTTATCGATCATTGTTAGTATGCATTTGCGCGTTTTGATTTCCTTATTGAACTTAAGGTTGAACTGATGACCCTCCACTCTTAACAGTAACTATTAAAATTAATGAACTTAGTACTTTTATGGTTCTAAATTCATTCAGCTTGATATTTATAAAATTAAATATTAAGCTGAATCTGGAAAATCTAAGCGTTTTAAAAATTCATTTGAAATCCTGTTGTTGGCGATTTGCAATGTACCAGGTTAATCGGAAATATCTTAGCATTTTCGAGTTAGTCCGATTTTGTAGACTTATTACAACTTACCCTGGTGTCTTTAGGTGTCTTCAAGCTGATTAGAAAACTCCTGAAGAATTTTCAAAACAGCTTAGAGGCTGCTCAATAAGCTAAAACGGTTAACACCTAAGACGCTTTGCTAATACTTAATCAGCCTGAATTTATTTTAGGATCCTGCATTCACTATTTTACGCTAATCACAAGCGGACTGAAAAATCTAGGCTAATTAAGCAGTGAATGACAGGTTTTCTAAGTACTCTAAAGGTCCTAGGATTATTGGAATAGGCCCAAGAAATTTCAGGCTGAACGGAAAAAAACGAAGACTTTTGCAATTAGCTTGGCGCATTAAAAAAGCCTCCTAAGTAGGTCAAAGGGAAAAGAGCCGAATTTTCTCGTTCATCTACGACTCATACTACAGATGCTATTGTGACTACTTCACTATAAATTGGCTATTTTATTTTACAACCGTTGTTGAACAGCAGACTCAATTTTGGGAGTATGACTACTAATATTCAACTCAATAGCCTAGTAATTTTGAACCCAATCCAGAAAACAAGAAAACTTCTGGATCAAGTATTGTTAGAAATTTGCCCTCATGGAGGACTTTAGGTTGGAACTAACTCGCATTTGCTGTACATGGAGTGGAAGACCATAAGAACCTCCCACGGTTAGTCTGACGGTAATTTGACTCTAACACATAATCCGACTACCACTGAACATATTTTAGGTCAGCACTGTGGTCAGTGCGAGTCAGGTGCGGAATTCGTACTTACCAGCCATCTCTGGGATTCGAACCCGGTTTACTTCATTGGAATGCGAACTCTCTATACCCTGAGTCATCACGGCTCATCATTATTTATTGTATCAATTATAGTTATGACGGGATAGCTTGAAACGCTGCACAATTGGCGACTATCTTGACTATTGGCGACTATCTTGGAAACATCCTTGAGGATGATTCGAAGACAAGCCATCGCAATTTTAATCCTCTGCAGAGAGAGAGAGAGAGAGAGTGGCTCCACTGCTTTCGTAACCCGACGACCTATGTGCGAAGTCGAGCACTTTACGGTAGAACAGTTTAATGATACCCTGCACCCTCGGTCCCTACGCTGGCTGATCAAGGTGGTCACCCACCCTCTTATTGACAGCAGTCAGTGATGCTCGACTGTGTTTACTAGGAACTGTGTCTTTACAATCAATTCACTGCGGATTTATATAAATAGGAGCTATAAATTTATTAAATCCTAATATTAAAAAAAAATCTCTGAAATTCAAATATAGAAAGTTAGCTTACTGCAGTTTTTATTCCCCCAAAACATCGCTGAGAACAAAGTCTAACAACAATAAAAAAAGCATATTATTGGAAACGTAGCATAAGAATTGTGTAGCAACTTAATATTTGGGGACAATGGTAAATGTATAATCCCAAGAAACAGAAGTAGAAAGACACATTCGTTGATTTGCTTCCAAAAATATGAAGATGGTTATAAATATTGACAAGTTTCAAGCGCTCATAAATAGGCGTCCATCCTCAAGGTCCGCTAGACGTTCACGAGGAAAACAAAAACAATTTGAAAAAAAAAAGAAAAAACTTGAAAATAAAGATTAAAATCAAAACCAGAAAAACGGTGTTGAAACAGAAAGAAAAGTAGTGCAAAAAGTAGTGCAAAAAGAAAAGTAGAAGAACCGTAGTGACCGCGAAAGGCGAGTCAGAGCAAAATTCTTTTTCACACATTTCCTCCGTAATGCATTTTCTCTCCATAGTGCGTGGAAATACATTGTGCTCTGATTGTCTCTTCCACGCCACTGTGGTTTCTTAAGTTTTTTTTCTACGCTTGTTTTCGTTCGTTTCATTTACACCTAACGCTATTCTGCAGCTACAGTTAACTTCAAGTTTTTGGTTTCAGAAGATTTTTATTTTCTTATTCACATTTTGCAAGATTTCCGAATGGGCATCTATTTTGGAGGACTCGAAGCATGTTTTTCATTGATATCTTCATACTTTTGGAAGTAAATGAAGTTTCTATATAATTAAGTACAACGGAAATATTTTGAAATGATTGCTCGTAAGCAGTTGTGGCCCAGGAGATAGAGAGTTCACCTTTCAATGAGGGGAACCTGCTTCGAAACCCAGCGATGGTTGGTCGATTCGAATTCCGCACCCTGCTCGCGCCGACCGCAGTGCTGACGCTAAATATCCTCAGTGGTAGACTGATCATGGGCTAGAGTCCTCTTGTCGCCAGTCTAAGCGTGGTAGGTCTTCGTGAACGTAGTTCAGATCGTAGTTTTATCAAAAAAGTCCTCCACGAAGGCAAAGTTTCTCTCAATACTTGATATCGTAGTTTCCTTGTCTTCTGGATCATGTTCAAAATTACATGGCTTCGGAATTGAACATTGGTAGTCGTAAACTCAAATTTGGGTCGGCTGTTCAACGACGATTGTGAAATAAAATGATCGCTAGTGGGAGAAAGACATATTTGCATCAATCCAATTCCTTGTGCAAAATCTGAGTTAGCTTTTCACTGCTTAAAAGAGTTGCTTTCAGGAAGGTTAAATTTGTGCCATTAGTTACGTATTAATTGAAAACCTGAATCGTTATAAAGTTTCAAAGTTACTTTTTAGTGAATTCAAGTAAATTAGCTATGCCAATTATACGTTGTCAGTAAGAAACAAAGACCTTTTTATCTTATCTAAAAGCATTGAGTTGGGTACTTGAAGTAGAAAAGGATCACAGATACCCACACATGTGAAATATGACGACAGCTTCAGTTGAATGTTTATAAGCAAAACTGCGTGTCAAAGTTGAGTGAAGTTCCGTACATAAATTTTAATGTTAGTTAAGGTAAAGTTAATTAAATACAGTACCGTGTCTCTCATCGAATTTATTGAAATATAATTATTTCTAGTCTACGTCTAGTTAACTTAGACTTATTATTTGCTTATGCATTTTATTATAACCGTGATATATTTTTGCTTTTTGTGCCTGGCAACTTCGATGCATAATTAGTTTATGTCATGGCGTCATGCCTGCGCAGAGATCATCTTTGTGTTAAGTAATAAATTTATAATGAAGGAATTGAAACCTTTGTGAAAAACTCTTTTTGTGTAAGAATTTAAAATGTATCATTTTAAGAGAATTGATACTTGACGGGCTTGGCTTATTCGAATTAGAATAGAAAGAACAGTTGCTAGCTTAATCCCTTTTTCTTTTATTCTGTAACGGCAGTTTCATACCTTCCAACTCCAGCGAGTGTTATGCACAATCATGCATGCGTATTAAAATTGTTGAACAGTTATTTGTTTTGTATTGTATCAATGCATGTACATATCAAATTTCATTAAAATCGGCTCAGTAGTTCTAGAGATAAGCAACCAAGACTGCAAATTCTCTTAATTTCTACACCAGTGCATAAGTAACAGTTCATAATCTTACCTTTAAAACACACGCCGTATTGAAATAGGTTAATCAAAATTTCTCTAAAAGAAGGAATTCATAGTATAAAAATTTACAATCAAACTCGTAGCGAAATCAATGTCTAACATTTACTAGTAAAACTAAAAAAAAGTTATCCTGATGGCCTAAAGTAACCCCGAATGATGATATAAGAAGTAAAATGTTATAGTCTTATATTTTATGCTCAAATTTAAAACTTGAGATAAATCGATTGAATAAAATAGGAAACAGATGTTCTCTTTCTCAGCAAGTAGGATGCGATGAAATGTTTTTCTGAAATGTTCATAATATCATGAGTAGGACTGGGCGATATTTGAAATTATGTATCGTGATGCATCGTCAGTTTTGCATCGCGATATAGTGATGTATCGCGATATAGGGTAATCAAA